AAAAAAAAAAAAAAAAAAGACAACCAGTTCCCTGTTTGCTGCTCCTGTGGTTTTGATTCAGTAGTTTTTGGAAGAGAGCTTAATGCCCACATATTATAATGCTCCCTAAGCATTTAGAAGGAGGCAGTCAGTGGAGGAATTTGTGAAATATTTTCCTCGATTCATCTGTAATGTCTTCTTTCCTCCGGAAATGTAGGGCTGGGACTCTAGAAAAGTTCTAGCACGTCATGTTTGTTCCTTTCCCCCTCCCTCCGTCCCTCCCTCCCTTCCTTCTTTCCTTCCTTCCCTTTTTTTTTGAGACAGAGTTTTTCTCTTGTTGCCTAGGCTGGAGTGCAATCGTGTGATATCGTCTCATCATTTCCTCCATCTCCCAAGTTGAAACGATTCTCCTGCCTCAGCCTCCCAAGTAGCTTGAATTACAGGCATGTGCTACCATGCCCGACTAATTTTGTGTCTTTAGTAGAGACGGGGTTTCTCCATATTGGTCAGGCTGGTCTGGAACTCCTGACCTCAGGTGATCCACCTGCCTCAGACTCCCAAATTGCTAGGATTACAGGCAGGAGCCACTGCTCCTGCCGCCCCTTTCTTTTTATAAGCAAGAGAGTCTTTCTGACTTGTTATCTCAATGTTGGAGCCAGGGAAAGAGCCCTGGATTGTGGAGAGTGAAGTGAAAATAGCGAAAAATATTCCAAATGGGTGGGAATGTATTACAGGTGTAATGACAGGTAAGAGCTGGGATGGGCAGAGTGAAAGCTACACCTTTAAATAGTGTGTGGGGAAACACTCTACAAGTGGGAGAATTCTGTAGGAAAAGAAAAGTTTAAATCCTAAGATCTCTGAATGGACATCTCTCTTTGCCCTCACTTACCCTCTGCTTGTTAATACTGCGTTATATTTCTTATGTTTTTATTGTGCAATTTGTTTTATACAATGTTTTTTTTTCTGATCTCAGTTTACAGATTTTCCCAATACACATTCATGTTTCATATTTTATGCATGATGAACTAGATAACTAAGGTCCATGTATATATATAGAATTGCTGTATTACCTGGCTGTGTTACATAACTGTAGTTGTGACATCATAATTGCACCCTCCAACACCGTTAGTCAATTCTTTTTTTTTTTTTTTTTTTCATTTTTTTTTTTTCCTTACCCTGGTAAAGTTTTTTTGTTTGTTTCTTTGTTTTTTGACACGGAGTCTTACTTTGTTGCT